TACATACAGAGGAGTCGGAAGATTTAGAAACTGAGGAGTCGGAGTCGGAGCATTTATCTACCGACTCCACAGCCCTGGTTATTTTGTAGGACGACTTTCACTATAATTAACGGAATCACTGCCATCTGTTGGCTCACTGGAATCTTTTTCTGTTTGTGCGACTTTAACAAGGAACCCATCCAATGACAGCCTCTTTTGCCTCCTTTTCGATTTTGCAAAAATGTGTACATTGCATTGTCGTTAAACAGATTCATCGCTCGCACTGCTACGCCCTTATTCAGGTGGTGCTTTTCTACTAAATTTTGACTATACGAGTGAGGCATGCCGTCTGAGACCGAGCATGGGAGATGATTACCCACAATTCCGCAGCGTGAGAAAGTGAATAACCATTGGTTCAGTTGAGATGACATGCGCTCGGCGTCAAAACAAGAAGCGCATGCATGCGCTTCCTGTTTTGAAGCCGAGCGCACGTAAAAACAAGAAAAACAAAGAGCGCATGTGTGCCATATGATTTTTGATGATACTTGGCGCTCGTAAACCAGGACTTGCTCGGTTTCCAAGTCAAAATTTATTAAAAATCTTTGCTGGTCTTGCGGAACACTCGTAAACCGCGTTACTCGTTATCCGAGGTTCCACTGTATTGAAGAAATGGGCAGCATGATTGGAACAGTGGTTAGCACTATTGCGTCACTCCTTTGGCATCAGGGTTTGAGTCTCCGTCCCGGTTCTACATGTGTGGAGTTTTGCATGTTCTCTCATGGGGTTTCCTCCAGGTTGTCTGGTTCCTCAAAACATGCTAAGGTGAGTTGGAGTTGCAAAATTGTCCATAAGTGTGAATGTTTGTGTGTGAATGGTGTGCCTTGTGACGGGTTAGTGCTGGGGTAAGGATAAGCTCCAGCCCCATGCAGCCCTGCACTGGACAGGTGGGTATTGAAAATAGATTGCTTGATACTGGAGAAACTCCAGGATTCCAGGATCTGTATTGAATATCTGGAATGTGCCTTTTCAAAAATGGTAACTCTCTTCTGTTCATTGTTTTTTGGTAGGCAATGCTCTTCCTGAAGATATTGCCTGCTTGGCAGCTGATAGGATGTTGGTCTTTGTTGCGCATGGAAAACTAGTTACTGCCTTTGCCAGGAACAAAGAGGTAAACGTCCTGTTTAATTTACCAATTCCACATGGGACACTTTTTTAAGGAACACTTCTCTAGTGATTTTCTGATTTTCCTCTCACTTTCCAATTGAGAAATGAGAGTACACCATGTACATAATTATAGGCAAGTCTGAATTTTGCTAGTATCTTCTCTTCAGAAAAAAAGTTTCAGTCCAGATTAATCTCCAATTAAGAATGGACTGTTTATAAACCGAGCGTGCTCACTATTTTCTGTTTGGAGAAATACAGGAAACTGTAGATACTTTCCTCTGCAGAATTATTAAGCAAATTATTAATACTATTAAAATGGGCCAGAGAAGAGCGAAAAAAAAGAAATAGTGAAGTGCCAGTCAGAGGGATGCAACACAATCAAAACTGCCAAACTTGAGAAACATGACCACTGTACAATCGAGTATTTTGTGGCCAGCAGCCAAGGATGGAAGAATCATGTAAAGAGATGATGACACAAATAACTGTCAAATTAAAGAGGAGACTCCCAGAAACACTTTAGAAACAAATGTCAAATGTTACCAAGGTAGCAAATTGCAGTCTAAATGGAATTTCTGGAAGTACTAGGTGCTGCATGGTACGTGACATTGCTAATGTCTCAAAGGCTGAATCACAACAAGTCCAGGAGACACACAAGATGAAACATCAGGAATGGGCATGGACACGTCTCAAGACTGATTTTACAAAGGTTTTATGAACAGATGAGATGAGAGTGACTCTTAATAGAAGAGGTGGTTGGACCCATGGATGGACACCTTCTGTTAGCGCCAGCAGGGTGGTGATGATGTCGGCTGCGATTATCACTGATAAATTTGTAGCGCCTTTCCAACTTGCACATGGTGTAAAAATGAACTATGAGACCTACTGCCAGTTTCTGGAAGATACCTTCTTAAAACACTGCTACAAGAAGAAGTCAGCAGCTTTCAAAAAGGTTATGATATTCATGCAGGGCAGTGCCCCCTCCCCGTGATATTCATGCAGGGCAGTGCCCCCTCCCCGTGATATTCGTGCAGGGCAGTGCCCCCTCCCCGTGATATTCGTGCAGGGCAGTGCCCCCTCCCCGTGATATTCGTGCAGGGCAATACCCCTTCCCCATGCGTCAAAGTATTCCAGAGATTGGCCAAGAAAGGCTTGAAAGGTAATGTAATTATCACCTGTCCCCCTTCATCGCCTGATTCAGGCCTCAATGAGAACTACTGGGCCTTACCAAAGTATGAGATTTACCAAGGTAGCAAACAGTACACTTCTCAGAGCGGTCCTATCTATCAGGTAATATAAAATGTGATCAAATCAAAAACGTGACTGGTTCAGTGGACAACAGGCACATGATAGTCATTGAAAATAAATATTAAACTTGGTAATGTGGATTATATAGAATGAGTTGACTCCTTATATAGCCTGAATATCTACAACAGTTTTTATTTTTTCTCTTGATGATAACAGAAAAATCCATGTTGTTTCTGATTACCTAATAATTTTGCACACTGATAATCAAATGTTTTTTATTTTTGTTTGTGACAGACTAATGTAACTTTCTCAAAAAATTGCTTGGAGTGAAAAGAAAACTTCATTTTTATAAGTCTGCCCAACTTTGGCTAAAAATGATCTCCATGAATAGTACATGCCTAATAATTTTGCACAGATTGTACATTGTTGGTTGGGAATTATAGGAGTCAGCAAACCATTCTTGTGTGATATTTTTTTTTCTGTGGAAAAAATAAGAATTATTCAATGTAAATTCCTTCTCCGGGAAACATTTGTCTGTGTTTAATAAATCAGCTTTTTAATTAATGTTGGTTAGACTGGAAATCATTTAAAGTGTTTTTCTGTGGTTATCGTGCATTTCTGTTGTTGCTTTCCTAGGTTGTCCACACCTACACTGGCCATGGGGCGGATGTGCATCTTCTGCAGCCTTTTGGGGATCACATCATTTCTGTGGACCGGAACAATGTTGTCATTGTCTGGGATGTTCAGTCTGAAGGTTTGTTTGCCTTGCCAGGTTTAATGTTACAGCCCTCTGCTTTTCATTTTTGCTCTTATTCAAAGCAAAGTTAATTTCTGAGAGGATCCGGCAGGATTTGTAATTTGGGATTAAGGGCCTACCGGTGGCGTCACTCTACTAACCCTGGTATTTCAACCGACAAGCTTCTGGTCATTCACATAGTGTTTCGACTCACTCAGCTCATCAGGGCAAAAGAAAATTTCTGAATTCGCATTTATAAGCCTGTCAACTTTGGCTAAACGTTATCTTCAGGATTCTTCCCACAGTCCAGAATCATGTGGTTAGGTGTCCTGATTTCTCTATATTGTGTATACTGTGTGCTGCATGGGGCCGGTCTGGAGGGGCTGGCTATAAAGGTGTCCTCACCCCTGTTTATAAGACAGCAGAACAGATTCTCCTGATTCCATGTATGCTGTGCCCTCCCAGATGAATACCTGCAGATGGCACATGACAAAGCATCCTTTGAAATTTCTGCCGTCATGCATCCAAGCACCTACCTGAACAAAATCCTGCTCGGAAGCTGTCAAGGGAGTCTTCAGCTGTGGAATGTCAAGTCAAAGTAAGGCCTGCGCCTCAAACGTGGTGAATTCCGTTTACCGCCAGTTCCCTCTGCCAGACTAGTCTCGAGTTTTATTTGTTATATGCAACAACATACTCTGTGCATGTGTGCAGTGAAATGCTTTTTTGCAGCCTGCTTCCCGGAAGGAAATATGTAAACAAAAAAGAATAATATAAAAAGATAAATATAAATAAATGCATTAAATAGCACTGATTCTTGAAACTTTGGCAAAAACACACTAAGAAAAGTGCTCATTCTGTTGGAAATTAATAACATTTTCAAGGTTATAATTAGGGGGTCCTTTGCACATATGTAAGGTTCTTTTATAGGCTTATTTTTTATCTTTATTAATTTAATGATTATATGCTGGCCCATTGCCTACAAAATCATTTGGCCTCAGATAGGGGATAATCATTTCAACTTGATTTAAAAAAACAAAAAGTAATAATTGAATTGAGTAATATCTTTACCACATGAAAGAGTACATTGTAATATGTATTAAAAACTACAAACAGTGAGTTTTGAACAATATTTACTGTTACTTTGTGGTTGCTCAAAATGTGTCCCACATATTCGTCACCAGTGTCAGATATTTATAAAAAGCAATAAAATTTAAAAGATTTTTTATTTTCAGAATTAAAACCTGTTTTATCCAAATTCCCAAGAATCAGTAATAGAAATAAAATAAATGCAATAAAGTAATAAAGTAGATGTAAAAAATGATTATGAGTGACTGCACTTTTTGTATTCACCTCAGACAGTTTATGTCAGCATGGTGTAAGATGAGAAGGGATGCATAAGTGCGTAAGTGGGGCTTGGCTGTTAGGGCTCCTTGTTTAGTATACGAACAGCTTGAGGGAGGAGACTTGTTCTAAGTCTCTCGGTGTAGACCTTCAGGCTACAGTAGTGTCTCCTTGACTGTAGTGGTGGGGAAAGGCTGCTGTTAGGTTTGAGTGCCGCTTTGTTTCTGGATGCCAACTTGTGTATCCGCCGTAGCCCTTGGCCGTGATGAGTAATGGCTCGGTGACGGCGAAGGCACCTATGACAAGATGCTGCTTGGTGTCAGCTGAGGTTCGCGGGGGACGCCTGGGGCGATGGGACTGAGCAAAGCTTATTTCAGGTTTCCATTAAAGATGGAAACTCCTTGAGCTCAAATCAGACCTACTTGCTACGTGTAGTGCCTCTAATTTCTTTAATGACATGTGCTTACGAAATGTGATGATCCTGGTGAGGCCTGGTAATCCACCGAATGTGGGGCAAGCTGTGGGTGTGATTACACAGGCGTGAGTGATGTCATCTTAGCTGAAAAGTAATTTGCTTGAGGTCAGCATTATTATTATCATTATTATCTTTTTTAACCATGTCGTAAGAAGGCGATGCACATGCTTGATGGGTGTAAGGCCTGACAGTCCGACCACAGGCTGTAAATACAAAGTCTGCAGTACAAACTGTTTTTCAGAATTTATTTCTAGCTGCTTCTCGTGTTCTACATCAGTAGGTGTTATGGGAGGGAGATGACTGACGTCGCTGGTTAATCCTCACCGCTTTATGTCTTAAGGTCGGGGGTCTCCATCTTTTCCCTTTAATCATCCATCCCATCCATGGAGGCTGAGGGGAACAGCACTAGTGGGGCGCCATTTTAATATAGCACAGTGACATTTTAAGGCTACATCTTTGCTGCTTATTGACCCTGCTAAATTTATGATTGATAGGTGGGAATTTCCTTAGCAGCAAGGATATACAGATAGGAAGATCAAATATAATGAATACGTACGAGAATGTACATAGTACAAACAGCAAAAGCAGGGCAACATGCGTGCGCAGAGAGTGTTAAAAGCCGTCTTGGGCGTGGGGGTGGGGTCCTTGTGTTTCTTTGGGGTTCCTCTGGTGTCATTTTGCATCTGAAAATGGGCCATGAGTCGCGGGACACAGGGACACGCTATTTCACCTTTAAACTAGGCATGTCCCATCTGGGGTATCCCATTGCCCACTGCCTCCAGGGATAGGCTCCAGGCAGCCCTGTCCTGTATCAGCTATGGGTGGGTGGACACACTGACTGGCACACACTGACTGGCACACACTGACTGGCACACACTGACTGGCACACACTGACTGGCACACACTGACTGGCACACACTGACTGGCACTCACTGACTGGCACTCACTGACTGGCACTCACTGACTGGCACTCACTGACTGGCACTCACTGACTGGCACTCACTGACTGGTTGCTCTTTGCTTAAACTTCATGCCACAGCAGAGTTTTGTACTAATCTCTGTACTCGTACTTGGAGCCTCTGACCTCTGTGTCTCCTTTTCCAGCAAACTCCTATACACCTTCACAGGATGGGGCTCTGAAGTAACAGTGCTACAGCAGGTGCGTTACATGTTGCACGGTGTTTGTCCGTCATGCGCACCGTGAGGCAAAGGGGTCCTGTTGATGTGAGCAGCTTTAAGGGGGGACGAGGGGGGGCAATGAACGTTTCCATTGCAGATGGCCAGCACAGAATGCCACAGGTGGTCAGGCTATGCAAGATTATGAAAAGCTCAGAAAATCCCCCTCTCAGTTCGGCAGGATTATTTGTTTTGTATATTTCAAAAATGTTTACTTTGTTTTAATGTATGAATGAGTAATGGAGTAAGAGAAATGTCAGAATAGAGAGTGAATGTCAGTTTATGTTATGTAGTACTGTTGCTTAGCGTGCATTAGTGTAGAATTCCTCACAGTTCATCTGGGTCGTGTTGTTCTTCCAGGCACCTGCTGTGGACGTCGTGGGCGTTGGGATGGCGTCCGGTCTCATCGTGATGCACAACATCAAGTACGATGAGTCACTCATGAATTTCCAGCAAGATTGGGGCCCCATCACAGCGCTGTCATTTCGCACAGGTGACTTAACGTCTCAGTACCTACATGAAATACTCTTACTCCTGTCTCACAGGTCAAATAAGTCTTCTATTTGCTAAACATGAAACTTCCTCTCCCTTGGCTTTGTCTGGGGACCCATCTTAACAAGACTATTAAGTTCTGGAGGAAATTCTAAATGTTTCCCAAAACTTCTCCTCAAGATGGTCACCCAGTAATGGCTGCGGGGAGCCCTATTGGCCACATTGGGCTGTGGGACCTGGAAGACAAGAAGCTGATTGGTCAGATGCGAGATGCTCACAGTACAGCCATTGCGGGCTTGACGTTTGTCCACGCAGAGCCTCTTCTCATCAGCAACGGGGCGGACAATGCCATTCGGGTCAGTGTCTTATTTGTCCTGTTGCCCTGCAATAGTGCTATGAATTAATTGAATCGGGATAAACCAGAGAGTGTGATATTGCAGAGGTCTGAGTGTCTCTCCCATGCGAAACAGGTGTGGATATTCGATACCCCTGGTGGAGGTGGGCGTCTCCTTCGCTGCCGAACTGGACACAGTGCCCCGCCCACGAAGATCATGCATTATGGTCAGAATGGACAGCAGATTCTCAGTGCCGGTCAGTAAAGATGGAGTCTGTCTGCATCACGCCTGTTGTGGGTGGATGGTCAGGAAATGCTCATTTGCTTGCCTGTTTTATGTGGGGAAATGTTGCCATGCAAGCATCCAGAGATTGTCTTCTTTTCTCTGTTCTTTGTTTATAGCTCAATCATGTGTTTCTTTGTGGCGGTGAGATTTAAGATTTTAATCGAAGCTTAATATTTAGTTAGGACGTCTCTTAGCTGCAAGCATGTTAAGAACTCAGTGTGTGCAATAGACAATTAATTTCTTAAATGTTGAGATGATTTCAAGTTAACATTATTAATTATCTGATTTATATGGGTGAGTTGAAAAGCTGACCATTTTTTTTTAAACCCGGTATCTAAATTCTCTGGGATGAAATTCTTCATTAATTCTGTATTAGTCATGGATCTGATCGATCAAGGTAAACCAAATAAAGTTTTAATTTCTTTCCCAATTTTTAGGGTATTTAGGGTTCACTCATTTTGGTTCCTTTTGGGTAGATACCTAGAATGGGTATTACTGCCAGAGGCCAGTAGTACCACATAGTTTTAAAAAAAAATCATGGCAACCTGAATCACTGTATCAAATTACCGCGGTCTTCTCACATACCACCAGGGGGCGCTCCGAGTGCCACTGGATGTACGCATACCACAGTTTGAGAACCGCTGCTGTAGTATATGAGCCTCATCTGGTTTTTCCAGACTTCCTAAAGCCTCTGTTTCTCATGCTGGTTGCTTCTCCTAGGTCAGGATGGCACGCTACAGTCCTTCTCTTGTGTGCACGAGAGGTTCAATAAGAATCTGGGACATGGTAAGGTTCCTGTGAGCATCGTCCATATCCGAGTACTTCCTCTGTGGTATGTCAGCCAAGCCCCCGCCAAAGTGGCTCTGGGAGGGGTGACTCCAAAGCAGTTTGTTTGAATTTCAGTGAATTGTTTTTCTTGGAAAGGCTAAAAACTCGCTATTGAAGTGCAGTGGACGTGAGTCATTTATGTCTGGAATTTCCGAATTCGTTACAGTCATTTGATGCTTCATTATTGTGCCACAATAAGGTTCCATCAACAAGAAGAAATCCAAGAGGAAGGGGCTGAAGCTCGACACTATGAAGCTGCCCGCCATCACGACTTTTGCTGCAGGTACGAATTAGTGAAATTCTGTTGCAGGATAGTCTAAACTTGAAGGAAACCACTAAATAGTCATCATTACAGTCAGTGAGATATTTGCCCTCTTTCTCTTGGTGTTCTCTGGCTAGGCAAATTTTGCTGGATGATAAGTTGTCCTAGGAATTATTGAGATAAACAATAGTTTTGTCGTTGTGAGACCATTTTCAACTGATGTAATGATAATGACATATTAGTGCAAGTACACCCTTTCAACAATCAATAAACTTCAATTTCTAAAGAACATTTAACACTGGGACTGGAAGACATTTTTAATATCCAAAATAAATAAACAAAACAACCAAAAACAATTAATAAATGGATTATGAAGTCTCTGTAAACAAAATCGGCCTTAAAATATTAAACATTATGTTGTATAAACCAATGCCATTTTTCGCAGACCGGAAATGAGCGAGCCGCATTTCCATGAACGCAGAAGCTGACGTGCAAAGAGCCCACTGACACGAGGGTTCACGCCTCATTACTAGTGATGTGTCGTTCATGAGCGAGACGGCTCTTTGAGCCGACTTTTTAGTGAACAATGGGAGCCGGCTCCTGTTCAAGAGCCGTTTTTTATTAATGTTTATAGAATTGTCAGGGTTTTTGAGCTGCCTAAACATTAAGGACGACAGTGGCTGGAACACGTCTTCCGAAAAAGCCCGGCCACGAGACGGCGTCTTATTTTTAACAAGCTCAAATCAGGTCACGCTAATCAGGCTCAGGTTAAACTAAGAGAGGGGCGGGTTTTTTAAAATGAGCCGTTTAGGAGCCAAATGAGCCGGTTTGCTAAAAAGAGCCGATATTCCCATTTGGTAGAGAGAGACGAGGAAAACAAACAAGCATGCAAATGAAAATTATCGCGGCCGGAAAGATTATCGACCTCATTTTAATTATCGTGCAATTAATTGATTTATCGTTTATCTGGCTGCATTGTACATGCAATAAGTTGTTTTTCTTAAAAACTAGGCTTATGAAGTGTTTATGTAGCCTTAAACATTACTGTGACACACAGGAGTATTAAGGGAATGCACTGTTGGTTATGCATGGCTGTCTGAATTCATTGTGAATGTACAGTTCCCTGGTATGGTTCGGGAACTACGATGCCGTTTCCTTGGCTATAATTTGGGTCCGGTTGTTTGCTTGCAGAGACTGCCCGTCAGAGTGACTGGGATGGGATTATAGCCTGTCACCGTGGTTACCTCATCGCCACCACCTGGAACTACCAGAAGACCTCTATGGGAACTCACAAACTGGAGCATGAACGTTTTGACAAGAATCGCGCCCTCAACGTCCAGGCCACGGTGAGCTTGCCCCAGGAGTGGAGTCGTGTGCTTGCACACCATGAGCGGGCTCATGGGATATAAACCATATGGTTTGCATCACTGCTCTTTTGTAAACAGCACGTATTATGACCTGTGTGCCTTACAGGTGGTGGACGTTACATCCTGTGGTAACTTTGCAGTGGTGGGGCTCTCCTCCGGACATATCGATGTGTACAACATGCAGTCAGGCATCCACAGAGGTCACTATGGCGACAGCAAAGGTAAACGCTGGGGCAGCCTGGCAACTTCTACCCAGTGTGTCAGCGAAGGTTGCTTATCAAAGCATTTTGTTGTGTTTAGTCCATCCATCTGGCGAATACATGGTAGCATCCCTGTTTTGTAATGCCCATGGACCCTGTGGATGTGATACTGGGTGTAATTCGGGTGAATGGTTTCCCTCATTAAGTAATTTCTTTGAAGCTGCTTCGCTGCTGACGTTAGACATGGTGTTTGGAGCCCTAGTGACGATCGTTTTTGTAATACTATCCCTCAATCCACCACCCCCCCAGCACATGAGGGACCAGTGCGCGGCGTCGTGGTCGATGGACTCAACCAGCTGACCGTGAGCGCTGGAGCAGACAGGCTGGTGAAGTTCTGGAAGTTCAAATCAAAGGAGCTGATTCACACTGTCACCCTGGGTGCCTCTCCTTCCAGAACCCTGTTACACAGGCACAGGTGGGGTGGAAGCCTTGTTGCATGGCAGATCTGACCCAGGAGTGGAGCCTTTTTGCTTAGCTGAACTTGGATAGGAAGTTGAGAAGCGGGCGGGATGATGACATGATGTTTATGATGGCAGAAACTGTAGGAGCAGTCTAGACGATCCTCACACTGCGTTCTTCCCCTGTCCTTGATTTTTCCACCTGTGTCTTGTACATCCGCAACAGTGAAATGCTAGCCATCTCTCTTGATGACTTCACTCTCAACGTCATGGATCTGGAGACGAGGAGGATCGTTCGCAAGTTTCCTGGTCACCGTGGACAGATCAACGATATGGTGAGGTTAACTCGTGTGCGGAGTCACTATCCCCAAGGGCCCCGGGTTTCCCCTGGCCAATCACAGGTGTCCTCCTCTTGTTTCTGCTAGACCTTCAGCCCAGACGGTCGCTGGTTGGTGACCGCCGCTATGGACTGCACCATCAGGACATGGGACCTACCCACAGGAGCGTAAGTTCAAATGCCACGGCCCTCTGAGCTGGCGGCCAGGGAACTCCTCCACGTCAGATCCGGCTCATTGTTACCAGCAAGCTACTTGAGAAAGGAAATGGGCGAGATGCGATAATGTGCAGCGTAAGCTGATAAGAACACCGCGAGGGGCCATTCTCGGCCGAAGGCCACCTCAGATTTAAAGATGACCTTTCTCAAAGGGGGGGGAAAAACATGAAAGGCTACATTTCTCGGACAGTTTGGCTGGGTCTGGTAAATGTACAGTGGAATGGACTTTTTTCGAAAGTGCGTCTCTTTGACCCGGAATTCTCCCCCACCATCTCTCTCGATGGTAATGGTTTCTCTGCCCCCCCCAATCAGTCTGCTTTTGATCTCCTCCTTTCAGCATGGTGGACTGTTTTCTGGTAGATGCCGCTGTGGTCAGCCTCAGCATGTCTCCCACAGGGGATTTCCTGGCCTCTGCACACGTGGACAGTCTAGGAATATACTTATGGTAAGAGCAATCCGGAAAATTCCCCAATGCAGATGGGAAAAAAAATTAGGGTGCGCTCATATCCAAGGCCAGGCTTCTGCTCAGGCTAACCTGAGCTATAGATCAGGGCCTTGAGTTGTAGGTGGCGCCAGATATTTTTTCTGACTGTTACTGTAGCATTTTATGCTGTAGGGATGGCTCTAACCATACCTTTTGTCCATGGACCCCCTTCCCCCTTAAATTCAGCCCTGTGTGCAGTCATTTTGTTGGTATCTTCTAAAGACCATGAATAGAGTGCAATTTGGTCTTTTCAAAAAGGCATTTATTAGTTTTGGAAGAAAAAGTAGCGTTACAATTTCGTATGAATTTTCCTTGTCATGGCATTTAAATGGATATGCACTTTAATAATGGATATGGGTGCATTGCAATTGTCAGTCAATATATTTAATTTTATTCAGTACTGTGTATTTTATTCATAATGTTCAATTTTATGGTCAGAAAACGGAAATTTTTACAGATGGTAAAACTATGCAGAATTGGCGTTAAGGTTTAGATCCACTCTATTCCCAAAGTGTCATGGTCTAGTGAATTAAGATGAACGCTGACATTGTATCCGCTGCAGGTCTAACAAGACACTGTACGGCATAGTCTCCCTACGCCCGCTGCCCTCAGACTTTGAGCCCTCAGTGGTTGTGCTTCCTGGAACCTGCCCTGTTCAAGGTGTGTGAATAAAAAATGTATCTTTTAACTGGTGCGCTGATGTCTAACCTTTGTCTAGGAGCAGACCTGAATTCGATAGTAAGCAGCTTGGAGCGATTTACCATTGGCCTTTTTGGAAAGAGACCCCTTACTGGCATTTTTGGCTTAAGACTGACAGATTTTTCAGACTTATTTTGATTGTATACTGTGCATGTATGACATGTAAATTGGAGTGCTTTTAAAGATGTGTAGGACCTGGCTCAGAAGTGCCGGATTCTGACTTTCTTCCCTTCCCCAGACGATGTCAGTGATGAAGATATAGACACAAGCAGCGACACGATGATCGACTATGTCTCGAAGGAGCAGCTTGATGAACAGTTGGTGACTCTGTCTCTTCTGCCGGATTCCAGATGGAAGAACCTGTTGAATCTCGATATTATTAAGGTGCGCTTGGGGTTTATTAGGATGGATACCTGTGGTTATGCATCCTGTCTCTTCTTGGGGTTCTCACTTGTGAAAATACTGACATCTAGTGGCCAGACAAGTTTTCTCAAGATTTTTAAAGAGCTCAGATCTAGACTAGAATTGTTTGGTATGTACATTGTCCATCGTCTCGCACCTTATTTTGGGCAGGTTTTATATATTTGAATATGACAGGTTTTGTGCTGAGGGCATGCTCTCACAGGGACATAGGGACTGGGGGGCTGTGTACTCACCAATATTTAATTCCGATTCATTCATTTCCCCTAAGAAATAGGCTTTTGTATTTAAATTATGTCCCTCCTAATATCAAACATCATTGTGTTCTCATAGTGTGAAATCTGGTTGAACATCAATTTTACTTGACCTAACCTGACCATTGAAATCATATCCCATTTATTAAATATTAAATATCTTATTCAGACAAGCACACTCTGAATAACTGTACATACAACACTAGAGGGACTTGTGTGTTTCATGACACCCCCCCCCCCACACACAGAAACGTAACAAACCCAAGGAGCCGCCCAAGGTGCCCAAAGCCGCTCCCTTCTTCATTCCCACCATCCCAGGGCTCATGCCCCAGTTCGCTGCCCTGGAGGACCCCAGTGCCAAAGAACAGGTGAGGAACCGCTGGAGAGATGGCATCATCTACCTTATCAAAACGCAAGATATGTGGCAGAGCGTATTAGGGTTGATTGCTTGTGCCTGTCATCAGAAGGTTGCTTGTTCAAATCAGAGTTATTTCACTGTTGGGCCCTTGAGCAAGATGCTTAACTGCCAAGATGTTTGACTCAAGTATATCTCTGAATAAAAGTGTCTGTTAAATTATAGTTATACATAAACGTAAAGTAAGCAGGTGTGCACACATGAGACTTATAAAATGCTTTGTATTCCTTTCTTTGAAGTCAAAAGTTGTGAATTTTGGAGTTCTGGCCCAGAAGTCAAATTTCTTCCTCCAACTCGAAGATGCCTGGGTCACCAACAACTGTAAGTTGAAACTGGAGTTTAATTCATAGTGGTGTTGTGCGTACCGTTTACCAAAGAAGCAGAGATGGTGAGTCACCAACAGCAAATGTTATGCAGATGTATTTGGCCGAAAGCAGGCCGATTCAGTAGCACCTTAAGGTAAATATTTGCCCCAAGTGCTAACTGGGGGCTGATTTCCCATTCGCATGTAAGCTAATATTTATGCCAGAAGGCTTAACACTGTGTGCTCCTTTAGCGCCGCTCTTTTGGAGGATTAGTCATGGTGTAGGCATGGGGGGTGCCCTTGTGCACAGGCCTCTGATTCTGACTGTTATGCTCCCCCCATATTCAGATACCACCCCCCTGCAGCTTCTCAAAGATTTGGGGCCCTCAGCCGTCGATACGGAGCTGCGAGCCCTGGCTCCGGATATGAACGGGGCCCTGGAGCAGATGCAGGCCTTCCTGAGGATGATTGGCACCATGCTGGACTCAAAGAGGGACTTTGACCTCGCGCAGGCCTACTTAGCCCTCTTCCTCAAGGTACATCAGGCCTCCGGCACAGTACATGGGCCCATATAGCATTGTCAGGAGATCCGGAGCAAAGGCCACATGTCTGGATAGGCTAAGCTGTTTGTGCTGTTGACATTAATAGTGGCCAAGAAGATCGTTCTTGTTCAATGGGAAGGCGGCAAAAAATCTCCGCATCTCATTAGCTCAACCTAATCACAGCCCACTCATTATTAAAAACCTTGCTGCTACCCTGAAAGGCTAGAGCAGTTCCTATCTAGATATGTGCTCTCCTTTCTTATGGTATTTAGAAGTTGACTCCTCTTAAGACAATTTTCACAGTTATATGTGACCAAAAGCTAACCAGAAAGAATAACAGTAGATATCAGTGTGTATCATTATTGCTTTCTGATCTATGATGTCCTGTCCTGCCATCTCCTGTCCCTTCAGTCCTGTCTTCACTTTCCTACCCTTTCCTGTCCCTTCAGTTTCCTCCTGTCTGCACACTCCTTTTTTGTACACCTTGTCACCTGTCACTTGCATTAACAGGTATTATATTTCTAGTATATGTTGCCACTGCTGTTGCTATTGTTATTCATTAGAAATATATATATGTTAGAGTAATGGAAGTAAATAGAGGACATAAAACATGGCATCTCTATTATGTTGTTTGCGTCATTAAACTACCTGGAGGTGAAAATGCTTACTCAAAGCTTCTGGAATGTACAAATACAATATCAAGTAGAGGGATCTCAAAGTCAAGAATGAGGTTATTAAAAATAAAGGGGGGGGGAGATTTAATCCTGTAATTATTTTGCATACCCCTTTGTTGAACAAAGCTCAAAGATTGCCCTTCCCAGGCGCTCTCTTTTTGGAACATCCCCCTGTTACAGGGCAGTGGAACAGGCTGCATCTGATTGGCTGCATGGGTAGGTGGTGGGTGTGACACGTTCTGTTTCTGTCAAACATTGTAGGGGATAGTGTGTCGGGGAACTCGGCGAGTTTCATGGGGATTTCTCGCTGGTCGCAGGTAACCTGTCATCCAGATGACTTGTCTAACGATACTACTTCTGCCACAGCTGCACCTCCGGCTCGTCTCACAGGAATCGGCGCTGATGGACGAGGCGCTGAAGGTCTTGCAGAGATTGGAGGGAACGTGGATGGATATGCAGACGCTCTTCAACCAGAGCCTCTGCTTGCTGGCCTTCACCAAGAGCGCACTGCTGTGACACAGTCCCCTGTTCAGCCTCTCTGTGGTTTTGTGTTTTTTATTGTATCTGGAATAGTTTTTTTAAAATGATGCTTCATGTGAAGAGTGACCCGGAGATGAACATTTTAAATTTCCCGAAGGAGTTTGACCAAAGTTCATATGATGCCACCTGGATACAGATTAAACCTTTGGACTTTGTCATTGAGATTGCTTGCATTGGTGTCGTCTTTGAGGCAGTGTCGTCAAATGATTCTGTAACAAATTGCTCAGCTGAATGTTCTTTAGGTTCCTTTTGCTCAGTGGCACACGAAAGTACCGCAGCCTGTTAACAGAAACAAAGTGGCTGAATGTATACAGAATCGGCTCAGCAGGTCTGGTTTCAAGTATTAGAACACCTAAGACGCCTGACCTCAGTGACTTTGAACGTGGTGTAATTGTTGGTGCCAGACATCTGTTACTGGAAGAGGTCAGAGGAGAATGGCCAAACTCGTTAAAGTTAACAGGAAGGCCGCTAGTGCAAAAATAACAGCACAGTACACCAACGGTGTACAGAAAAACTGTTCAGCACCCACAGCAAGACATTGTACGGCTGCATCACTTTTCAATGATTCAACTTTGTCATCCAGACACTATATATCAAATTAGTAGTCAAAAAGACCCTAAATGAGGGAAACATGAGATATTTTCAGACCAGTATTGTTTGCTTATACCTATGATTAACACCTAAGTACCGCTAAAATTGTATCAGAGGGTGTTTAGTTACAAAATGAAATGAATGTGTGCCTTCATTGGACCGAGCAGAGATCCTCGCCAAGTTTTAAGCAGAAGTGGTGGGATATTAAGACAAACTATCTACCTCATGGCAAGCAGTGCTTCATGCTCTGGCTGCCATAGAAAAACAAGCACCAAGCAGGGGCATGTTTAATGTCCCCCCCCACACCTCTGCCCCTATACTTCAGAAACTAAATACATAGTTGGTAAGCAGAGCCAGTAGATTGTAGCTAGTTAGCAGAACATGTTGCTTCAGCATCTCCTAAATGAATTTATTTCATAATTATTGTAGTGACTGTTGTGGCCAACAGGGGGCTCCAAACCACCGGGGCCTTACACAAACGTATGGTTTGAATGGTGGTAAATACTGCTGCTGCCCATCATACATTTATTATATTATGTTATATATTATTATTTTTGGATGGGTAATGAATGATGTTATATATTATAATTTTTTTTTATAGGTAATGAATACCTATACAAAATAAGTACGTTAACATAGGCCTCTGAAACTGGATGTGTTGCTATATGCTTCTTAGACGTGATTATAGCACAAGAACTCTAAAACTGACCAACAGTGACGCCTGCATATAGACGTGTTGGTCACAACGTGAATGTTCTAAAATAATAACCTTGCTTTGAGGGTGAATATTCAGGTTAAAATTTACTGCAGGCCTGTCTAGATACATTGGCTGTGTGCCATCAAACCCTTTCACATCTGAGTCTGCAAGCCTTTCTAACAATTATATTTTACTTGAATTCACGAACATGCCTTGTTTTTCTGCAGTTAAATATAACACACGGTACACTGACTTCCGTTTTTCTTTTAACAAATGGAAACGAACCGTGACCTGGTTTTTTTACTAGATACACATTGAGAATTAACAGGCCAGAAAGTGCGGGAAAGGTGTTAGTTTTCAAAATTCACTGTACATGTGTATACTTTAATGGATCATTCATTTATAGATTTGTAAAATTATTATTATTATTTTGAAAAGTTAAGCCACTTTCATAAAAGAACTACATCAAAAACGAGAACGCGAAGGGAGATGCGAGGGGGTCCAGCTTAAGATGTTAAGTTCTTATGATGATGTTATGTGTGTGACCTGTTTGCTCATGCTACACGATCAAATCTAGTTTCAGAAAGCTAAGATGTCTAAAACCCATACTGCGTAAATGTATGTTAACCACCTAGGGCTATAATGCAGTGTAACATCTTGTTCATTCTGCAACCACTGTCTGGCCGTCGCCATGTAAATCACGTTATCAATAATAAAATTAATCGAATAAATTAAAGATATCCGATATACTCATATGTTGATCATGTACATATTGTAATACCATTACAACTGATCACTTTGGTCTGGTAGTTAGCTTCCGGTCATGATTGCGTAATTTATTTTTATAATAGCAATATGACGTGATGATTATATTCATGTTTGTTGTATTGTTTCATGTGGTTACATGGGAAGCTTTAAGACCCGGTGGAAGCCTGGCTGTAACGCAGGCTTTAGCTCCTCACAATGTTGGCTCCTGTGCTCCTCTGGCCGCTGTATGGTGCTGCTACAGTAGCAATGGGAAGATAAGCAGCATCACAAAGTACCTTTTCAGTGCACTTTTCCTGCCTTCATTCTCCTTGCTGCATAAACGGCGTTCCCTCCACGCGGTGACAATTCTACTTATTTGCCGGCTTCTTTTTGGACGAGATTTGCATTTCGCCGGCCGCGTCTGAATCTGAGGTAGCTGTTCTCTGCATCGCAAGTGTGTGAAACCGCGGATCGGCGCTGCAAATACGGCTCCGTGTATCTGATCGAAGAGCTGGGGATGCTGAAAGTCACCATGCCCTCCTCCAGTTCAGGGGCGGCTTCAGAATACTGGATAGATGGCTCAAAAAAGGAGACGCTTGCAGATTACTACGAGCTGCAGTCCGAATTGGGACGGTAAGCGCTAGTTATTATACAATGCTTTATACACGTCTCTTCCAAAAACAGTACGAATAGGACGCCTTTTACTTTGGAACAGGGTAACAGTCGTCTGAGGCATTTCCTTTGGTTCTATTGATGCATAATGTTACGGATTACTTTATCTTGGAACAGGAATGTCATAATGTTATATCGCTTTAAGCAGTTTTGCGCATTATTATGTCCGACACGTTTGGTTACTGCAAGATGCATTTGCTGAGTTAATCACTTTTGATGTAATGTTGTAGATGCGAAGCGCGAGCCGTTGGCGCGCGCCGTCGGTCGTCCTCTCGCACGCGCGCCCTCTCCCAGGCTCGCGCTCTCATACTGATTCAAATGTCACACCTTGCGCTTGCAGAGTGTCTCACCACAGCTTCCTGCAAGTGTTTGCTGCAGTTTGCTCCGGCGCCTGCAAATGGTTTTCTCAGCTGATGGGGCGCATGGGAATGTGAAACGCAGGAGAGAAAGAAAGTACACAAGAAAACAAGAGACTCCCACGTTTACTCTTACTGCTGTAAACATTACATGACTTTTTCCTTTAGAGTCTATGAACTGTCAGTGAGATACAAAGAAGAATGATTGAGTATTAAATAAGGACAGGCACATAACATTAGAGCATATACTGCTGATCTTTGTGATCTTTGCAGCTTCAAAACAAACATTAATTGACATTTAAAGTGTCATGTTGTGCTGGGATATGAAATTAGGGATCACAATTGATGAACATGATATGCCTTGTCCAGTACAATGACAAAGCTGTATCCAGGAGCATTTGTGGTTTTGTGTGTTTTATTTAAGAATCTTAAGGATCCTGGATTCTCATTTTATGTACTTTATTATTTTAGAGCAATCGCATTAGTTCACCCTTTATTGTCTTAATAGCTGTAATAGTAAGTATCTGTCAAACCTGGGCTCTTAACCCTATTCTGAAAGTCAGATTATTTATTTAGGCCCTGTGAGCTGTTTGTTCAGTAAAGGTTTATCCACTATGACCTCCCCTGGGGTTCATGCTCGGAGATTTGATCGGTAGTTACTGCAGCTTGGGGAACTGCAGACCTGAGCTTAGAAAGCTAATTATGTCGTGCAAATTGTGGTTGTTGTGGATCTGAGCTCCTGGGGTGTGTTTACTTCTAGGTCATGTGAGAATAATAAAGTCTGTGCCTTTTGTTTGCACTCATTTTTAAATGGCATACATAGCAAATCATGGTAGCACTGCACACAGTCGCCTGCACCTGAGATAAATTAATGGTCTTGGTGCAAACCCATGAACCAGTCCAAGGCAAGCACAGCTGATAATGCAGAAACTGAAGTGCACTATTTCTCTGTATTTTCTGTAATGGTTTCTGTTAATCTTAAGTACTACAGCTTTGGTCATTAATTTTAGAGACAAGTCCTGTATTACCGTTCAGAAGTGTCATATTTTTAACTGAAATGTCTTGTGTTCATTCCTGTCTTGGTTTTAGCCCTAAATGGGACCTGACCCTGTGTTCTTCCTTTCTTCTTCCCTTTGATGAGGTTAACGATTAATAACAGGGCAGTCTCTTTCAGTGTAAAGTAACACCTTCAGAAGCATCTCACTTTATCTCACAATCACGGGCACGTGGAGCCTGGTTTTCACAAAAAGATCATCTGCACAATATACTAAAATGTCACTTTGCAAAAGGCAGGGAAGTGACAGGTTGGTAGCCAGCAGGGGGTGTGCCTCGTGTTGGCACGGGTAAAAGTGTTGCCATTGTCCAGCCGTACTGCACCATTCCAAGCTGTACTGTGCCATAACAAGCCATATCGAGCTGTGATGAGCTGAACCAAGCTGTACTAAGCTGTATCAAGCCGCCTAGAGTTTTACCGAGATGTACCGAGAGAGCATTTTCAGTGGAGTGTTTGTGGTTTGGCAATCCACGTGCAGGGAAGCACTGTGCCGCGCACTGAGGCATTTCATTGCATTATCAGGATAACTGGGCCATGAGGCCAGGGTCACCCTGCACAGGACGTCGGGCTAACTGGGCCACAAAGCCAGGGTCACCCTGTATGAGACATCGGGCTAACAAGGCCACACGACTGGGGTCATCCTGCATGGGACGTTGGGCTACAAGGTCAGGGTCACCTGTATGGGATATTGGACTAACTGAACCACAAGGCCAAGGGTGCTCCGTATGGGATGTCTGCTAACTGGGCCATGAGGTCTGCGTCACCCTAAATGGGACATCGAGCTAACTAGGCCACAAGGCAGGGGTCATCCTATATCGGACGTTGGGCTACAAGGTCGGGGTTGCCCTGTATGCGACGTCAGGCTAATTGGGCTACAGGCCAGGGTCACCCTGCAGCGACGTGGAGCTACCTGGTCCACGAGGCCAGGGTCACCCTTTGGGGACGTTGAGCTAACTGGGTCACGAGGCCAGGGTCACCCTGTAGGGACGTTGGGCTAACGGGGTCACAAGGCCGAGGTTGCCCTGTATGGGAGAGCGGGCTAACTGGGCCACGATCCAAGGTTGCCCTGTATAGGACATCAGGCTAATTGGGCCATGAGGCTGGGGTCACCCTGTATGGGATATCGGACTAACTGGACCATGAGGCCAGGGTTTCCCTGTAGGGACGGCGGGCTAACTGGGCCACGATCCAAGGTTGCCCTGTATAGGACATCAGGCTAATTGGGCCATGAGGCTGGGGTCACCCTGTACGAGACATCAGACTAACTGGGTCACAAGGCCGAGGTCGCCCATACAGGATGTTGGGCAGACTGGGCCACGACATTGGGGTCACCCGTATGGGACATCAGCATATAATCTGTCAGCCGTCCATGCTTTTTATTAAGTATTTTCATTGAGTTGAAGTTGGTGACTTGCTAGACATCTGCTTGCAGTTGGAGAAACCAATCCATATTTTTAGAATGACTCTCTGAGCAGTTCCTGAATCTAGATCAGTTTGTTTGATGATTAAAAAGTAGCAGTGAGAAAATTTCATTAGTACAGCCCAGTCAGGACCAGATGTAGCTGCCTGAATCTGAGTGTATACGTAAACGGATTAATTCAAGACACAGTCAGCTGGCCCTGGACAGCATTGCTGTTTTGCTAGATGCTAGCCTGCTACAGCTTCGCGTGAAGCACATGTCCACCTTAGCGATGACAGAGATAGTTTGATAACATAATAAGAACTGCGGTGGCTATAGGAGTCGATCCGGCGTGGAGCAATCAGCCAGACAGCAGCTTTTCAGAATGATTGCCGTTAAAGGCTTTATTTTATATCCTAAACGTGGGTGTGTACTTACATAAGGCGATGAATAATAATTAGATGAATGACACTTTGAAGAGTAAGTTATGGGAAATCTGAGACCCTTGTCCAACAGAATCTCCAACAAAAAAGGAGCTCACCTTGGCTAAATGTCTCTGAGGGTATGCTCTGCTTGTGCTTTTGGCTCAGGTTTGGGTTGTGGAGCCTATCCTGTGCATAAACCACCTCATAGTGTGAACATGCGCAAAAAGAAGTAATAAAGTGCATGTTATACAAGAAATCATTCTATGCAGGCTGAATGAACAGCACATTTTTGTATATTAAGGGATTCAGTGGGTAAGCATTGGTGATATAATGCAACTGAAAATCCTTCTGTGGGGGCAGAAGGAGGGATGTTAAGCATGACCAGCACGCACATGATCATCAATACCCATTAATGGTGTGCATCCATTATGGTTAAATCTTGCTAATATTGCTGTGGTATCTTTAGGATCGCTATGATCTTTATTGTCTCAGTAGTGAAATATTCATTTGGGTTTTGAATATCTTCTACTGGGTGTCTGAACATTGCACAATATCAGCACAATGATTATGTGTGACCAGGGTCACAATCGGTGGAATATTAATGTGGAACAGAGTAGGGAATAATCAACAATTATGTTGATCTAATACAAAACGGGGAGAATCAGTGGGTTACTTAAGGACCATAAGAAAGGGAATCATGCAACGAGACAGGTCTTGTCATGGATACTGCTGGGGTCTGCTCATGTCAGTAACAGACAGTTCTTGTTTTTTCATTCATACCATACATACCATGTATGCCACACATACCACCCAGTCACTCCACCATGCTAACCGCCAGCCACAGTTAACAAATCAGATTTTCACAAATGGTTTGTGGTTTGGTCAGCATTCACATGCTCAGCCTATTCCTGTTAATAAGCACAATATGGCCTCTTCTGTCTAGCAGTGTTTGTGTTCAAAGGAAACACTGAAGCTTGTAATGTGCTTCTTAACATCTTAAGGTCTGTTGTACTTTGCAGATATTTCTATCTTTGCATATCAGTCACTTTTCTTTTACCTAACACTGCATATTTGATAAAGGAGCTCACTCATCATCCACATAGGCTAAATTAGTGAAAAACAGAAATGACACTCATCTGGGTAATCCCTATGGGAAGTGTAAACTTCCCATAGGGAGAGAGTGTGAACTCCTCACACACAGGGAAAAAGTGCAAACTCCACACACGCAGAGAGAGAATGTGAACTCCTCACACGCAGGGAGAAAGTGCAAACTCCGCACACGCAGGGAGAGAATGTGAACTCCTCACACACAGGGAGAAAGTGCAAACTACACACACGCAGGGAGAGAGTGCGGACTCCGCACACGCAGGGAGAAAGTGCAAACTCCACACGCAGGGAGAGAGTGCGGACTCCGCACACGCAGGGAGAAAGTGCAAACTCCGCACACGCAGGGAGAGAATGTGAACTTCTCACACACAGGGAGAAAGTGCAAACTCCACACACGCAGGGAGAGAATGCAGACTCTACACACACAGGGAGAGGGTACGATCTACGCACACACAGGGAGACAGTGCAGACTCTACTCACGCAGAGAGAGAGGGGAAGAGAGTGCAGACTCTACACATAGGGAGAGAGTGCAGACTCCACACACACTGGGAGAGAGTGCAGATTTTCCAGTAGTGACAATGCCATTGTCTACATTTCACTGAATGTTTCTTGAGATTAAT